AAAAAAAAAAAAAAAAAAAAAAAGATTCACAACTACGTACAAATTGTGTCAATATATGGATAGGAAAGTTGTATTTCACATTAGAAAGATCAAAGTATTGGTGATGGGAGAAGAGTCAACGTTTTGAAAAAATGAATAAAGTTAGAGAATCATGAATGATCTTGGAAAATCTGAAAAGAATTCATCCTTTGACTATTATTTTTTTTTTTTCCCAAGTTGATCACCTTACATAAAACATCCACTCATCAGGAAAATTAGAAAAAGGGCTCGTGCCTTGACAGGCTCACTAATTGAAATGTTTTTTCAAGACTTTTTGTTAGAAAAAGCCAGAAAAGTATGACTAAACATACATACTCTCATGTAATTATACACATTATATACATTATTAATTAAGCGTCAACAGAAAATCTGGAAATATATCAATGAAAAGCTCTTCATTTCACGCATATAAGGCCCAGACATATGCAAAACATATATACATCATTTTTTTTTCCCTTTCTTTTCACTAAGCCCTCATGGCTAGTCATGAATGTATTTGCACATCTTCTTCATATCATTTTAGTATTATAATTATGATTTTTCTTTGGCTGCATTACTGCAGCATTGTTACACAGTCATCACAGGAGTTGGGAAACGAAACGAGTCAGGTGAATTATGAGGTTAATGGGCGACGAGGTGTTGAAGGCAAAGCGGGTAAGTGCCATTTGTTCGTCGGCAGATGGGTTCGAGACAACACCTATCCTCTCTACAAATATTCGGATTGTCCCATAATCGACTCTCAGTTCAACTGCCGAATGCATAAGAGACCGGACACCGACTACCTGAAATGGCGTTGGCAGCCTGCCAAATGCCAAATTCCACGGTATATAGTTTTTTCTCTTCTTTTTCTTTTTTTTTGGTAAGACTCTAGCAGATTTGCTCGCAACCATGTTTGACTCGATTCTCGATTAGCTGTTTAAGTTTGATTCATTTAAATATACAAACGAGCCAAGAATGAGCTTTCACAAGTCAAATCGAAATATGTTATCGGGCAACTCAGTCTGAATAATAGATGCATAATATGCAGCCCCGTGTGAAAATCTTTTCTACATGCCAATAACAATTAAACCATCCAAGAAACCTGATTTTTGTTAGCTAGCTTTTGTGACCCTTTTGTTGAAATTAGAAGCTTAACAATTAATTTTTTTTTTTTAATAAAAAACATTGATTGTAGATTTAGTGCGGTGAAATTCTTGAGAAGAATGCGAAGAAAGCGCGTGAT